TTGCACAGCTTAGAATCTGCATGGGGGAAGAAGAAAGTATATGGCTCAAGAGCTTGAAGTGTAGAGTGTGGGTGCCTTTCTTTCATCTTTACTCTGCTGTTTGTGTTACCCTGGGTAAGCTTCTTGGCTTCTCTGTACCCATTTTCTCATCAATAAGTAGTTTAAAAAACAGCACTCATTTCATAAAATTCTTAAGGACTAAGTAAGCTAACATGTAAAGGGCTCGCTCAGAAAGGCACCTGGTACTATGGGTAAGGTCCAGTAAGTACCTGTGGATGTTAACACCAGTGACATTATTCTGTTCTTCATTGTAGATGACATATAAAACTAGAAATGTGGTATTTCTCTCCCTCTTTTCCAACTCCTTAGAAGGTTTTGTGTTACGTTGCATTTCTCAAATATACTACCTTCTTCCACCCGTCTTTGTCACTGTTGGGAAGCTCCTACTGTCTCAGTTAAACAAGACCAATAGGGTGCTGTCCTTTGAAAATAATCAATGTCAGAAGTTCTCTTGTGATACTTTAAGTTATATATTTATTTCCCATACATAATAAGGAATTGAATAAAGTTAGAGCAAGTTACTCCTCTCATTCCCACCTTCTATTTTCTTGCCTCCCCCCACCAGGTGGCACTCCTCTGGGTTTTACAGTTTGAATTCACTTATTAAATACAAAAGGGGTTAAGCTTTAGTCAAGATAGACTTTGCTTGGGGATCGAACTCGGGACCTTGCACATGTGAGGCAGGCGGCAGAACCACTGAGCTAAATCCCCAGCCCTACTTTGCTTTCTAATTTCACAGTACTGGGGTTTGGAAAGAGCCATTATGGAAGGAGCAATGGTACCCTACTCAGACTTGTTTGCAAATGCCTCTAGAAGGCTTAAGTACAGTTATATGCCTTCCCATTCAGAGATTTAACATCTTACAGCTAAGAAGTTAACACAGTAAGCGTTGCTCAGAGTAGCACTGTTAAACAGTTTTGATAGATCTTTGTTCTTTCCTGTGTTTTTATCTTCACAAGTATTTTATACTTTCTCATTCTGAATAGTCTCTTCCCTTTCTTAAGTGTTTTTGTTCTAAAAGAGTACATACATGTTTAAAAAAAAGAAAAAAAACACTTTGCTGTCAGATGCCCTAGTGATTACTGCAGTGATCAGTTTCTCACTTTATAGATTAGTTATTCTGATCTATATAATGGAAGACTAATCCATAGCACAAATTGAAAGACAATTTAAATTTCTTACCTGTTTACCTCTTGTTTATTCACTATTCATTCTAACTTTGGGATAAATAAATATGTGATATTATAGAAAAAATACAAATGATTGCTAGAGTAATAATTGAAAACTATTAATTTTAAATCTTAGAATTAGAGTTTACTTGGAAATATTCTTTAAAATTTGGAAATATCATAAAATTAAAAATTCAGGCTTTTGCCCAAAACCTTCAGAATGTTAAGGTCAATTTAAAATATTTTTAAAATATTAACTTAAAGTAGTTTCATCAGTTTAAAAGTTACTTTAAGATCCTCTGCCTCCTTCAGACTTCATTTCTGACTTCTAAAATTAAACTTCTGAAATTCTGGAATCTCAATTTATATAAACTTCTTTTTTCAATATGAGCATATCTGAGTATTTTATACCTGATGCAAAACACCATTTCCCTTAACCTGTCAGCAGCTCAATTGAGCAGTCAGACTGTATTATTCGATATCTCGTCTAACATGAGGACAGCAGTCCAAAGAGAAAGATATCACAAATTGGTGCCACACTTCGATAAATAGAGGCATTTTATTTTTCACCAAGCTAATTCAATCCAGTTCAGTTAACTCTTTTTTTCCCCCGTAAGGACACATCAAAAAAGGCAGCCATGAATGACTGAGTTTGTCATGTGTTTGACACGTCAATGTGTGAGTATAAAGCAGACCACAAGGGAGGGGATCGGCCTTTGGAACTCAGACAATACCCATTACAAGAGCTTCACGCAGACAACACTGGGCTGAGCTGGGCATCTCAGCTCACTCACACACTCAGGTACAATGGAAAAGGGCTGGGTCCGCTGCCCCAATGCCCTTCCCTTCACAGTAGTTGCAGCCTTTTAAACGTAACCATTCTTAAGAATTTTCAGTTGGTCATTGAGTTTCATTTTACTTTCCTAAGTGAAAGTGATTGGTCACTATGTATTAGGTTTGCGATGTTCTAAAAGCCTGTTCCTGAAAAACCCTTACTACACAATTGTAGAATCCTTTAGACATATATTGGAATTTATACAATCATAATATTGTTCATTGTCAAGGATGTAATGGGATGGATTGTGCCCCCCCTAAGTGTTTATGAGAGGTTAACATTGTCAAAAAATTGCCCATTGCTCTGTGGATGAGGTCCAAGATCCTCTTTGGCCTCAGAACCTTCAGAGGCTCCTTCCCCCAACTGCTGCTATTCTAGTCTCCTCATATCCTGCCCTGATGGCTCTGCCCAGCAGTCCCAGACCACGCCAGATGATCTGCAGAGCTCTCCTTGTCCTCTAGCCTACCAAGTCTGCCTTTCCCACTTGAACCCAGGGCCTTATGCATGTTAGGCAAGCACTTATCACTGAGCTATATCCCCAGCCCCTTTCTGTAACTTCAGATCCTACTTGTTCCATGAAGTAGGCCCTGTTTGCTGAATTGCTATAATAGAACATTGCTTTTCTCTATATGCTCTAAAAATGGAATTATGAAGAGTGCTCTCCTCTGCTTCCCCCAAGTGCAGCTCTGCCGAATGCTTTCCCACCACAAAATGATATTGCCCGATCAGTTTATGTGGCCTCTTGGTTCAGGGCTTCAGCTGTACAACCAGTGTTCATGAAGATCTGTATATAGAGAAAGGGACTAGTCCTGTGTATGTCACACATAGCAGGACAGATTCTAAAGGCAGACAGCTCTAGTCACCTGTGGAAGGACCACACACAAGTCACCCAACCTCTCTGCGACTTGCTCCTGTGTTTTTAAAATGAAGGTACTAAAGATAAAGCAATACAGAGCCATGTGACCCCTGTAATGGTCAGGATGTCTTAATTTTGGTAAAATGCTTGAAACAGTGTCTGGTAGGGTGCTACATAATGTTTATTACATGTTTATTGCTATTATAACTGATGTTACAGTGTAATTACATGTTTATTGAACATGTCCTATCCACTAGTCACTATTCTGTGTTTTGCATATTAACTTGTTTAATCATCATACTTTTGCCACCTCATTTTACAGTGAAGGAATAAGACAATAAATGTTAAGTAATTCCCTCAAGTTTACACAACAATATAAGGCAGAACTAGGATTTGCATGCATACTGCCTGGCTCCAGGACCTTCAGTCACTTCTCTGCTTGTGAGCTCCTTGGTGTTCTGATAGATGTGGGTGTAAATCCTTTTCCTTGAGAATATCAGTCAAGTAGAAAAGAATGTACCAGAATGTGTTTCTTGACCTATTAGAACCATGTTCTGAGATAATGGACCAAGAAGAGCTTAGTCCTGCTGGATGCCTCTTGACTGTCTTGGATTGGAAATCACGTGTGTCAGCAGCTGCCGCCACTGCACTCTTGGCCAAGGTGGACTGTGTGATATCTTTCTGGGTTTTGTTTTTGTTGTTTTCTTTTCAGCCACTCTTTGATCAGGCTCTTTTGGCTTTGCGGTATGGTGACACTAGTCCTAGAGCAGGTAGAACACCATAGAGATGGTGAGATACAGGGAATGAGAAAAGGTGGCAGCCACATGAACTTGGAAACGGTGCCTTTGTAGGTATTTAAGCATGCTTCACTCTTGTCTGTCGTGTCACCCGCTCCACTGAAGTACTAAATTCATCAACAGGATCTCTACCTAGAGAAGGTCAGCAACCAGTTCTTGGAAGCTGATACTACAGATCTTAGTCATAACAAATGAAACTTCGGCTGTGTGGCAGTCTCTTGATGTGGTTCTACATGCATATGTGCCTTGTAGATTTTGCACCTTAGGATATATATACTTGTAATTACAAATATTTTCCAGCTAGGATATCCAGTATCCATACTCTCTGTCACATAATCAAAAGTTTCATAAGTGAATTTTTAAAATCTTCAAAGGATTCCAGGTTTTTTTGCTGATAATATGCAAATAATGAAAAAATACATATCTTACAGTAAGTCTTTTCTTGTGTATGTGGAATAAAAAGGCTTGTAGGACAGTAATGCTTTGTAGCAGTTCTGCAGCTAATACTCTTGAGTGCTGGGTAAAAGTTAAACTTGAAGAGCACTGATGAAATATTTACTCATCAAATGGCTTTGAAGTTGAGCTTCTTTTGGGTTATAGTCCCGATCCTAATGGACATGTTTCAAAGACAGAAATGGTTATAGCATTCAGCTGTGGTGTTTTCTTATTCTCTGTATGGAAGAAATCTGTTTTGCTTTGCTCTGTTTCAGTGTTTAAATTTTGAAAGCTGGCTACTTAGAAATCACATTAATGACAGAAATGGTTCATGCCAATCTGAATTCATTTTCATTGATAGGGTAATGTTTCATAGTTAAATTTTCTAATACCTCAAGGATTTTCAACAAAGAGTGCTTTAACACTTCTATTATTTCCAAACCTTAATTTGCTTAAGCCTCCGTAGTTTTATAACAAGTTGTAGGGTGAATTAGTGTGTATGTAAAATGAATAATGTTATAAAAACTAGTTTTATAAAGTTTCTTGTTGAGTAAAATCACTATGTTTAAAGATATTTAGAACCTACATATTTAGAACCTACATATTTAGATGTAATATTCTTCAATTCTGATGATAAAGAGTTTTTCTTTACATTTTAAAATTGTAGCTACTCTAAGAATGTTGAGTGAATGCAGTTTTTCTTTTACATCTTGGATTCAATTTCACTTCTCTAAGTTTGGACTTCAAAAATTTTTATTGCAGTGTTGGTTAAGAATTTTCTAATGTTGTGTTTTCTTCCATGTGGATTATGACACACTTTCAATGTTTATATTTGTTTTATTACTTAGTTTTCATATGGATCCGACAAGCAGTGAAGACCACAGGAAAATCCCGGTAAGTTGCTGAGGAGTTAAAGACTTACCAAAGAACAAGCTGGTCTTCTCTTAGGCACTCAATCCCCAGAATACCCTCTCTCTTTGAATACTTCAGTTACCAAAGTATTGTGTATCAACTTGAGTTTTGGGGAGCAAGAGAGAAAGTGAAATTCAGCCTTTGCTTTAGTATACCAGAGGGTGTAGCTTCTGCATATGACCAGTGGAAGTTCAAGCAAACCGTTATAACTGAAGCAATTTAGAATTATAGATTTGGTTTGCAGTCCTTGAGCAACTAGTACGAAACAGTATGTTATACATTTTAGTTACACATTAAGAGCACATGGAAAAAAAAAAAAGAGCACATGGAGAAGACTGATTGTTGTTGGTGGTGGAATGAAGACTGCAAAAAGAATAAAGCTGCTTGTTAACATTGAACAATCGGAAAAGCAGCCTAGCAAGAGACCTAGCTAACCAGGAAAGTGTTTGAAAAAAATAGAAAAACAAATACTTTAGGACATTTACTTTCCCAGTCAGAACAAAACCATATACTGTGTATTACTAGGATTGGCAAGCGACCAGCCAGATCAACTCACGTAATTTCCAAGAGTCATTTTGCTATCTTAACTTCATTTTTATTGTTATCTGAAGTCCAGGGTTGGATTTCAGAGTTCTGTTGCATCTGCAGTCAATTCTAAATATATTAAACCTAGATAATAAGTTACTTTACAAAAATATGGGCAAATGTTCTTAGTAGAAAACTAAATTCTCACTGAAAAACAGAAATAGAGCCTTTATTTCAAGAGCCTTGTGGTTGCTGTTTCAACCATCTGTCCTTAATGTGTGTGATCCAGATGTATAATGTGAATTTTTGAAGCGATCACATATCATGAGTTTCTATGATGTGATATGCCTAAAAGAAGTAGAGGTGGAGTTAGAATTCACCATATAAATTTAAATGCAGTTGTCTGTCTTTTAAATTGTAGAAAACATTGTAGAAGCACTGGACTTTGTACGATGTTTTTGCTGTTTTATGTAAATGATTTGTGAGTTTTGATGTTTCATAAATACTGAAGTCTTTATAATACGGCAGTCTGGCAAGAAATGTCAGAATATATGAAGTCAGCCTTTGATCAGATAGTAAAATGAATTCTGTCAGGCGGTTACTTAATCTCAGACAAAATGCAACATCAAAAAATTGATTTAATATGTAGCCATTGTTCATTAACCTTAATTACAATTTCTATGTGCTTGTAAATGTACTTTTCCAAATCTTGCAATTTATTGCTATAAAAGCATCCTTAGAAATCTTTAAAGAAATAAAATGTGAAAATTGTTTTAGTTAAAGGATTTAAAGGTGATAAAAGAGTCCGTGATGTGTGATTATTTTTCTCTGGAATACTAACTATCCTAAATGACAGTTAAAGGATTACTAGGTGTTGTTAATTTACTGCAAGACACAATTAAGATGAGAAAGCTCATCCTTACACTGACTGTTATTGAGGAAAAGTATTTGAACAATTTTTATGTTGGAGATTGTAAGATATTTGAAGTAATTTACATTAAGTTCTCCAGTAATAGCCATCCACCAAGTTATTTTCTCCTCTTCTGGACGTAGTATTTTGTAATTAAGTTTGTATGTCGTCTCTGCTGGTGCCAACACCTGTCGGTGAAGGCGCGGTGTTTAAGCAGGAGCAGTAGCCAGTTGAAAGGGCAGTGTGAGCTCTTTAAGGCCTAATTAAGAACTGAAAGGGAGATGAAGGGAGGAGGACAAAAGATGTGAAAGTAGCTGAGATGATATTCCCAGAGCAAAGTTCCTCATTAGAACAATAATGAGATGATCAGAGAATGCCAAGCCTTCATCTTCTCCCTCTCTCTCCCCTCTAGTTGCCTTGGATGTCAGTTAGTGCCCCACCAATATTTGGTTGCCAGGACAACCTTTCTTTAAATCTTCAGTTATTTTGAGTCCTGATAATTTGCTTTTGTTTAAATTTAAATATTGTAAAAAATGTATATTTCCTATCTTAAAAGGCTAGATTATGTGTAAATTAAAAATAGATCACTAGTAATTTTGTTTTATGCAGAACTCTGTTATTTAAAATTCTGATTAAAAAACTTCATGTGGTAATTCTGCTGTTCTCTCGCTAGCCCCATTTTCTTGTATCTGCATATGGACAGTTTTTAGCAGAGGTGGAATAGGAATGAGACAGGATTAGTTGTGAAAAGGGAAAGAAAAGAAAAATGTACATTAAATTTCAAAATGAGACATCTTAAAAACATATGTGCTGACTATATGGAGCGCTATAGGAAAAAATACTGAGTACTTAAGAGCGTCATTTTGAGTTGTGTTTGGTCTTTACCCAGTTTGGAAATTTCTCAGTTTTCAAAAATTTTCCAAGAACAATAGTAAATGTATCTTGAAAAAACAGTTTTTTTATATTTCCCCAAGAATTTTCCTCTTTAAGCAAACTAATTTTTATAACCAGGAAATAGTTTTCTATTGTTTACATTAGTCAATAGTAATCTTTATATTATTTTCTTTGGATTTGCATTAACAAACAGAAGGTATATATTTTTTGAGTAGATCTGTCAGTGTAAGAATCTTATGGCTAAAATTAGAAGGTTTATATGGTTTTCAAATATTAAAATCTGGAGCCAAGCCTGGAACTGTTTTTAATTATATTATATTCTTTTCCAGAATATAGTTTATAGTACATGTGTTTCTAAGATGTTTTCCTGCCCAGAGACTTGATGCTGAGATTCAGGATAAAATTGTCACATTAAAAGACAAAGGGAAATATTACTGAAAAGAACAGACATGTATTTTCAGAAAATCTACATGTCACTAAGTACAGTATTAGGTCATTGTGAGGGGACAAAGACAGTGTATCAGTATATTCTCAGTGATGGCTCTAAAGTGTTGGGCAGCATTTTGAGATAGTATATTACTTTGACAGATTGTTAGATTGATTTATATTATGACATTAACTTAGGCTAATTATATCAAAATGAATAACTTGACATCTTTGATCTTCATTGTCTTTAGAGAAAAGTTAAAAATTTTTAACTGCATTAACCATTATTACTTATATGATGTTTAATATAACAGTGCAAATGATTTTTTAACTGTATATCACTTAATTACTTTGGAAAAATCAATTCATTTATGTATAATTTCATTAAATTAGAGACCGGAACAGATGCTGTTATTATGTTAAATTAAGAAAAAACATAAAGCAGTCAACCAATCAGTAACATATCTCATTTATTTTAATTTCATTAATCCCTTCAGTTCTTACAAGAGCTCCCATTTTTTAGTAAATATTTTATTAGAAAAATAAAATCACAGTAGTTGGGACAATTACTTTTAAAAATGCAGTCCAGGGCCGGGGATTTAGCTCAATGGTTCCGCTGCCTGCCTCGCAGGTGCAAAGTCCTGAGTTCCATCCCCAGAACCAAAAAGAAAAATGCAGTTCAGAAAAATCACTTGGTAGACTACAAAATATGAATGAATGAGAGTTGAAAGAGACCGTAGAGACGATCTCATTTATCAGATAAAAGCTTAAATTGATTGCCAATTCAAATATGTGCGATATTACTTGGGTTTAAGAAGAAACTTTTAACATAATCTTTGACAAATTTAAAAAATATAGTTATCTCCATGGTATATCTTGTCTTTCCTAGGAAATTATCATATATAATAAGTGCTTTATGAAAATATAATTAAGACATTTATAAAGTTATATACCTCTAAACTACTCATGAACAGTTAAATAAACCAGTAACTGTGTGTATGTAAGCTTAATTGATCTGAAAGAGAAGAGAACAGAAAGCCAACACTTACCCTGGAATTGTCATTTAATGGTTTTAGAGCACAGTTTGAAATGTTTTCATGAACAAAAATAGTATTAACTCACAAAGTTACATTTTTTCTAGTTTTTAATGCCAAAATACAATGAGTAGTTTTAAATATATCTTATAGAATTTACACTCATGTCCTTTTAATACTTCCTCTATTCATTCTTATTAACTCTTGTGTTCAATATTTCAGTCGCCCTGAAACTAATCTCACTCAACTCATCCAAATGATCTTACCCATTCTTGCCATTTGGATTTTCCTAGAACATAGTTTTAGTCATATCATTGCTGTTTAGAAACCTTCAGTGGTTTCTCATTTCCCATTGCAAACAGTCTAAAACTCCTTAGCATAGCTGTCAGCATCCTCAGTGGTTGGTTGGAACCTTCCATTTAATGCCTCTGCTTCCTGTTTTTCACTTCATTTTCCAGTCATTCTCTGTGATAGCCATTCTCCACTGTGCCGAGGGCTCTGATTCCCAATTGAACAAGCAGGCCCCACTGCTTGAGATGCCCATTGTGCATTTCTGCTTGCAGAGTCCCTGGTGGCCTAGTGCAAGCTCGTTCTCTCCACAAAGCCTGAGAGCTTCTAAGGAGTGGGAGAAGGTTTTCAGTTCTGAGTTTGTTGGTTTATCCTGGACAAAGGAGTGTGCTTCAGTGACCCTAGTATCAAATTGGTATCTGAACATTAGCTTCTATTTCTCTGGTGCTGCCACAGTCATGGGCTCTGGGGTGGGAACGCCTGGTGAAGAGCTCAGCTGTGGCCTTCCCAGTGATGAGTCCTAGAGCCATAGCAGAGTCACAGCAGACACGGAGCATGGAGAAGGGTGTTTCATGTCTGTGGCGGAAGGGTCTTTGTGTAGCAACCGTCCCCATTCCCTGTCCTTTACTAAATAGATTGCTTTAGTCTTTAAGAGCGAGTAAACCAATTTCTTTAATATTTCAGTTGATTTTTCTTAGGACAAATGGAAATGCTTTGAAGAAAAGTGAAAAAATGCATTTTAAGTTGTTGGATTTAGTAATAGAACTATGTTTAAAAGGCATAAAAGTTACTACTTTATATTTGGGCATTTTCCAAATGAAAAATCTAAATGCTACACAGTATCAATAAAAGACATTGCAGGGCCTTTCTCAATTCTTGAGAGATATTTTTCTTTGGCTTTTGGTGTCCCATTAATACTAGAATTCTTTGTAATGGAAATGAATTAAATAAATACCATTTTCTTTTTTTTTAATTATATTTATGCTTTTGTTAAAAAAGAATTTTTATCAGTACAGTAAGATTACCTAAGTAAATAAATGAAATTGGATAGAATGTAGACATACTAACCATAAATATTAGCATGTTTTGTAATTGAGTTTCCTGATAACCAAGGCAAAAAGGGAAATATGATAAGTTATATAGAGGAGGAAATATACTAGTTTTTCAGTGGGAAAAAATCTCTGCTGCCTCTAAATTAAAACAAGTTATGTGTAGGTTTTTATAAAGATGCTTATCAATTCCAAGTGCTCGCAACATTTCATAGCAAATTGAGAGAAACATATTGATGTTTCTGCTTTCTGTAGCTATCTTCAGTAAAAAGTCAATATATAATGTTACACCACAGTTCAACACAAGCAATTCCATGAGGACTAATGTCCAGATGTGTAGTTTTCATTATCTTCTTCTAGTTTCTCTAAGTTAATTCTTGGACATCTTTATTTTTATCCTCTCTTAAGTATAGCAGCTTTTAGTTCTAAATTATAGAACACTTTATTCCTTAATTTAGTCTTCAACTATATGTGAATTTCTTATTCTAGGAAACTGTTTATAAAGGAAAAAGGGATTTAGAACTTACAGAGTTATAATAAAGGCTTTGGTACATCTGCCCTAGTTTCTGCCTCAGAACTGGCCGGCCAATCTGGTAGCTGTCACATTAGTTCTAGCTGAGGATGGAGGGAAACTTTGTCAGGGTTGAAAACCCAAAGCTGAGGTTCTAAATAATTCTTAATGTTTGCCCCTGATACTGTCTGCTAAAGTAACAGTCTGTACCCCATTCCAGGACAGCAATCCTTTCGATGCCACTGCAGGGTACCGTAGTCTGACCTATGAAGAGGTACTACAAGAGCTGGTGAGACACAAAGAACTCCTTCGGAGGAAAGACACCCACATCCGGGAGCTTGAGGACTACATCGACAACCTCCTCGTCCGGGTGATGGAAGAAACGCCTAGTATCCTCAGAGTGCCATACGAACCATCCAGGAAAGCTGGCAAGTTCTCCAACAGTGAATAAAGCCAAGTGTGCTGCATTCATAATTGGGGCGCGGGGCTTGCTACTGAAAGTCAACACTGTCAGGTTTCATTATATACTCCTTCATTGTGAAAAGTTATTTTAACTGTAAATACTATCAGGGGCTATCAAGAGTGACCTTTGAAGTGAGCAAACTACTTCAAACTTTTAAAGTGAAATGGGCCTAGATTCTTGATGAATAAGCATTTCTATAGGATCACTGGGTGCTGGTGCTGGCCACTAATCTGCCATAGGCCCAGAAATATCTTCACAAGTCCACAAATTAGTCCTCAGGAATAGATTTTTTCATAAAGTGGAAGTGATACTTGTGGCTGGATTCTGAGAAGTCAGTTTGTAGGGATTTAGCTTCAGGAATACTGCTCATTAGCAACACTACTAAAAAACAGTTCATATTTTATATACAGATACACACATGAATATATATTCATGTATCTGTATATAAAATACATTCATATACCTCACATAAACATGTGTTTTTAGAACAACTGGCTGCCTCTAAGGTTAGAATAATAATTTCATAGATTAAAAATGTATATTTGCTCTGTTGATGCAAGACAAATCATCATCACTACCGTTAAGGCTCATTATGGAGAAGCTGCTTCAAGTCACTCTTGGCTGTGTGAACCTTGGTTTCAAAGTAAGCTGCTATTTATAATTCCAACATCAAATTTTAGCTCTTTTTCAAAAAGTAATGATCTAAGTTCCTTTTTAAAAGAATCAAGTTTTAGGAAATTTCATTTACTTCACAGTAGCTTGAATTTCTTTGAATTAATTTTTGCCTAACATTTGAGTTTTATATAAGGTATAAGCAGAATGCAATTTGTTTTGTTGAAATTCTGCATGCCTTTAAAACACTAGCCAGAAAAATATTATAAAGGTATATCTGAAAATAATTTTGGGAAAAAAATAAGTCATCATCTGGTGCCCAATAACCCAAAGCAATGAACAAATTCTAAGAATGAGGAATTAGGCTTGGTTTCAAGTTTCATAAATAATGGAACAGATGGTTGCCTTTGGGTCCTGAACCAAAATAAGACTTAACTACAGGAAGAGCGAGGTTTAGAGCAGATCATTACTAGCATGACATTACATATTGCTCGACATCCACCCTTTAATAATGGATTTATCATGAAGATTTTTTTTCAGTTCACTCCCAAAAACTGTTGATTCCTTTATAGATTAGCTATAAAATTACTCTGAAGGGCAATGATATAAAAAATTGCTAATCTGCTGCTTACTTTTCCACTGTAAAACTAAAATACTATGAAACAGAATATCTCTTTCTGAATTTAAAATAAAAAGTTTGTCTCTATATGGAGGCTAATATATTCCCCAATTCTTTAATGAATTGCATTTTTCTAATATTTATCTCTATTCAGGCTTTAGTGAATGTTAAATAAAAAGCAGTTATAATAGTTTTGCTTATTTTAGTATTTTGAATCAGAGAATCCTTAGCCAAACTTAGATTCATAAACCAAAATCCCTTGTTATTTGTATTTTCTCAGTTACCTTAGTTTTCCTATGAGAATGTGCATTTTAAAATTGTGAAAATTTTTCCCAAGCACAAAAAATTAAATGCTTTTCTAATATTAAGAAATTAAGAAGGAAAAATAACTTTCATCCCTTTTTCCCTCCACTTACAATTAAAGTTCTATAATGAACCACAAAAATCTAGTATGGGATTTTATTTTCCCATTTGAGGTCTGAGTAATTGTTACTGTTTTTTTTTGTTTTTTGGTACCAGGGATCGAACTCAGGACCTTGCACTTGCGAGGAAGGCACCAGAACCACTGAGCTAAATCCCCGACCCCTGAGTAATTATTTTTTAACATGGTACCATTTAAAATTATTAAATGTTACAAAGTTCTTGGCATTTTATTCTCATAGTGTTATTGAGACCCAAATATTTAAAAATACCAAAATTATGCATTTTCAGTATTATGATAATTACCTGCAGATACCATAATATACTTTAGTCAGATTTGTTCTTTGTAGAATGAACCAGGATGTCATTTTTGTACTGGGTGCTGATGTGTTTTCCATAATGCTCATTTAAAATGATGGTTCAGTAACTGCTGTTCTTTTTTATGAGAAAATTTATTTTTAAAAGAGTAATTCTTTGTCTCTAATAAAAATGGTTAAGGAATAGACTTATCCATACATGAATGATTGGCCACAACTGAATCAATATTTTTATGTCCAAAATCTTAGACAAGTGTTATATTTAAAACTAAATCTATATTTACCACTGCTTGAAAATGTTCATTTCCAGTGTTTATGAGTTTTCACTCATGACCCAGAGTAAACTTACTATATATTTTCATAATCAGTCAGTATAACAAACTAAAAAAGAGTACAATGAATTGCCAAGTAAACATACTAGTGTTTCTTCTGTTTGAGCAGAAGTACAAATAGAGTAGTTTTAATTTCTGGGATTGTAGAAGAAAGTCCAAAAAGACCACCTTAGTTTATTTTTCCAAACTATAAGTAGCCTAATTATCTATTTTATTAGTAGGTTAAACATAAAATGTATGTGCTCATTAAATATGCATGGTACGGTAGATTTATAAGCAGATTTTACTTCTGCTCTTATGCTTAAAAAAAAAAAAAGCATGTTCAAACTATTTCCACAAGAGGATTTTAAAAAAATTACTGAATTGACATTTATCTCAAGCCTATCTTAAGCTAACATACTTCTGTTACATAATTAAACCGTTTCTGCTCTTAACATAAAACAGTATTGTTTTACAACCAGTTTTCCTCCTAGTTTAAAATTCAGCTTTGAAAGTATTGATCAGACAGTCCTAGGCTTCACATTATTGAATACCAGGACCATTACTTAGAATTGTATATAAAATATTGTGTGACCCATTCATGGAAAATGTTTAAGTATTGCTTTTTGCTGCTATAGTCTGCTTTGAGCCTAGCTTTGCTGTCCTCCCATGAATGTAGTATTATCCAGAGATTATACATAACTACATGTATTGCTTTTGGCCGTAAATCAAGATTTAGTTGTAATTTTCCAGCTGTGAAAATGTTGCCTTGTATTTAAAAAGGGTTTCGTGAATGGAAACCTAAGTAAAACTAAGCTCATTAGTGACAGACTTGCTTTTTTCATGTCCTTCCTTCACCATCGACCCCACCCCTGTGTCCCCCTGCCAACTACCCCCCATAAGGGTGCTTACTCTTTAACAAGGAGAATCTTAAAAAACAAAAAAGGACTGCTGTCTTTACTGTACCTTTAGTAATTGTTACACAAGAACTTTTATTTTCCTCAGTAGCTTTTTAGAAAAAGCAAACTACTTTGAATTTGTAAAACAAGCTGAAACTTTTCTGATGGCCATGTATTCATATGTCTTATAGATGCCGTAGATGCTACTTGTGTACGTGTAAGTGAAGTGTAAAGCATGCCCATTCACTTGATCTCTTTGAAGTAAGAGGAAAAGAATCACTGCTGGTTCATATGGTAGATGTGAGGGTCTGTCAGCACACATTGAAAGACCCTGTTTTCACAGATTTATAACTTTAATAATCCAGATGCAATCATTGGAAGTATTTAATATGCAATAGGTAGCACCTTAACTAATTAATCTGCATATGAAGGCTTTTCTGATGTATTTAAGAAGTGTAGAAGCTCTTCAAGCATTAAACTAGACTTGACGTTTTATTTCATTTATTTTCTGTCAAAAAATCCATCTTACAATGGAATTGAAGTCTGTAACTAATGGTACATTTGGGCTTATTAATCTCAGAAGCTTCCAGATGGTTTGTATTTTAAGGTACAAAAATGCTGCAGATCTAGAAATGTGTATACTTAGCAGGTATTTGAATGATACAACCATTATTTATAACTGAAGAGTATAACACTTACCTTCTTAAGTAACTTATATACATTTTTGCAGGTACAAACTCAGAAGTCTGTAAACATTGTATAATTTATGTAATCTGATGCATGAATCAGAATTTTTATATAATAATATTATTATTATTATTGATTCTTTATGGTTGATTAAAGTGTTAAAACTTAATTCAGTTGTCACTATTTCTTGTCATAGATAAAACAGTGTAACCATCAAGCATTTGGGTCCGAGTCCTCCTTGTCTTTTAATACATACCTGGGATGCCTCTCACTTGAGGTATTGTAGCAAGTGCTCTGTAAGACCTACAATCTTACATCACTGTAAAAATGGCTCTGAAACTCCTGTAGAAAAGTAGCTTCTTGCTACCTTAGCATAGACATTCTTCAGCAAATTTGGGAATGCCCTCTACGTACATGCCCTCATAAGGATGGAACTGACAATTGGTAGAAAATGACATTTGACTCTTCTAAAGCTAAGACCTGTGCAGGATGCTTTGTAGTTCTATATTATTTCCTCACAATAACCCTGTAAGGTAAGGAATGCTCAAGATACGGACATTTAAATGAACTGCTTTTAGTACTCAAGAAAGAATGAAGTGGGCTTGGCAAACCCATAGTGTTTCTCATACTCACCCTCTAGCACCTGGGAGGGGTCACTAGTTGATCTTACTTCCAGTCCCTTCAAAGGAGCTGTCCAAGTACATACTTGTCCATCTGAGAGAAACACACATGTATAAATATGTATGTGATAATGTATTAAGCAGTTGTGTCATCTGTGTTAGGAGATGTGATCCATATGTAGTCTTTGGTCTAAGCCATACGCATTTGAAATGAGGGATTTGTACGCAGGCCAGGCTATCTTCCTGTTCTTTAATTGTTCTCAGTTTTGGAGCCCCCTGCCCTCAGCGTATCTTCTCTGGATTGTTCCACTTGATACCGTCATCAGCACACACATTTCTTTCTCTTTAGTCTGTGACACAGGCATTTGGAGCAATTCTGTTATAGAGAGATGTTGCTGGTTTTTAAAAGTGGCCATTTTTCATGTTGGTTTGTTTTCATGCCTATCTCAGAAAGTGTCTCTAATATTTAAACAGGCTTGTGATCTAAATGGCCTGCAGTTCACATTTTTCCTCATATTTTACAGGGTAACACAATTTCATGTTTCATGTTTTTGTGGTGATAGTTAATAGTTACAAACAATATTCTTATATACCTATAATTATATGAACCAAAATGCTTTCTTTTTTATTACACTTCTTGCACACTAAAATTTGAGACTTAAATATTCAATGTGTTTATCATTTGTTAGGCAGACTAAAAAGCCAGATATGGTGGGAAGCAAGAAATCTATAAACTTACTTTTTTCAGGGGTTTTCAGTTCTAGTGTGTTGTGGTCAAATGTAAAATAGGGATGGGCTTGTTGTTGTCAGTTATTTTAAAAATTAGAACAGTAAAGACTATTGCTTCTGTAATGTTACATTCCATTGCACTCTGACAAATGACAAAACTACACAAAAAACTGTAGGTTATATGCATTCCTAGCAAAGGTTCTCATTTGTGCTACAACTCTTGGTGCAGAGGTTGCAAACTCAAACTTTAGAGCCAAGTAGGTATGGTGGGTGATAGGGCAGGTTGGGTGTAAAAGAGCAGGGATCACGGGACAGTGACGATCTAGAACCCATTTTCCCCATGGAGGGAACCACAGCTGTCCAGCCCTAGCTCATTGTGGCCATTGGGAAGTCAATGAGATTGATGCTAAACCTTATCTTCCTAGAGAACTGAAAATAATATAGATCTTCGTGAGAAATATGATTGCTACATGTTGGCAGCTAATTCTTTTTAAAAACAAAAGAACTCAAAAGCTATAGTTTATAATCTCCAGGAAGAGAAATGACTGCTGTCACGATGGTAAGAATAACAAACAGTTCAGTTGGTTGTTTACTTGGACTGCAAATAATTTTGTGTCTAATCAAAACCTGGATTGGTGAAGGGGCATGTGGAGCATATACAGTAGGTAATATCACATGATAGTTGGGGTGTGATGAGGGGAGGAAATGGAGTGTTCAACATGTGAAAAATTTCAGTTACACAAGATGAAGTTCTGGAGATTGGGTGTATAACATTAGGCCTACAGTTAACCATAATACATTGCACACTTAAAAATCTGTTCAAACTATAGATTTCATGGTAAAAGTTTTTAACACAATAAAAGCTTTTTTTAGCTAAAAAAAAAAAATAGAAAAAATACTTCCTCTAGTATGCCTGTCTCTGAGCCAGACTGTGCCATTGGTTTTAAAAATGTATGTAATACAGGTAACCTGAGGTACAGTCTGAGGCCTGTGTTCTAGTGTTTGGAGCATTTTAGACTGTTTTTCTGGGACCTGGCACTTCTTTTTGTGGTAGTTGTGATTTTTAATCTTTTTATAGTGCTCTTTTTTTGTAAAAATTATTTAAAGACTCTCAGTGTCCCAAAGATCTGTTCATGTATGTCAAATCACATATGGTATATAACAACTTTCAGTAATAGAAAATGAATGTATTCTTGTGATTTTTAGGTATATTAATTCCCCCTTACCCACAGGGAATATGTTCCAAGCCCCCAGTAGGTGCTTGAAACTTCATTCACTGTGTTTCCCCTATATATGTGCATACCTGTGACAAAGTTTAATTTACGAATTAGGCACAGTAAGAGAACAGTTATTAACGATGTACTCTAATAAAATTGCCAGCGTCACCACCCTTGTCTTTTGGGACCATTATGAAGGAAAACAAGGGTTATTTGAACACCAGCCCTGCAAGTCCCATGACTGATAACTGAGATAGCTCCGTACTGTATGACTAACAAGTGGGGAGCATGGACACACGCCATGCCCACGGCATCTCCAGTGGGATGGACCAGACTGGCCAGGGATTTCAGCACACTATTCAGAGTGTTGTGCAATCTAAAGTTTAAGAATTGGGGTTTTTTTTCCTGGAATTTTCCATTACATATTTTGAACCATGGATTTGATTTTTTTTTTTTACAGGAGCCATTTAAAATTCTGCCATGGGCCGGGGATTTAGCTCAGTGGTTTCGCCGCATGCTGAGCAAGCACAAGGACCCAAGTTCAGTCCCCGGTACCAAAAACAAAAATAAAATTCTGCCATACTTTTTGATCCCAGACCCATCCAGAAAGATCAGTTTTTCTCAAAAGTGTTGTCCTCAAGCAGCACTTTAGGAACTTGTTAGAATGAATTCTCAAGTAATGGTGTCATAAATAAGATATGGACAAGTCACAGCTGCTCCACGGAGAGTACGTATCATGTCCCAGGATATCATTCTGAAGTGTTCCCAATACTAGAGCAGTGGCCCTCAGGCTGTGCCTCAGGTTACCTCCGAGAACTGAGGAAGAGGGTACTAAGGTTGGAAAAGAAATAGTGCAGCCCCATGTGCGGTGTGGAGTAGAAGTTTTTGAACATGTGCCTGAAACTACAATGGACCTTAAGGTAAATGAAGCCATCCTGTGACTTCAGGTAAGAGGTTTTACTTAATGGGTACTTTATAACTTTGCAATGGTACTGATCCTTTCATTAAGTAATGCATTCATAAAAGGTTGCATTCTTTTTCACAATCAAAATGGGGTTGAGGTCTCATGTCTAGGGAAATAAAGAATAAAATTTAAAGATTCTGTTGGGTCTTGCATCAAGTTCTAAAGGCATGAAGTCATGAGGACAAGATTATTGCACATTAGATTAATAATTGAGGGTGGAGTGAGAGGACACCCAGCAGGACAGCATCTTGGTGGCTTCAGTC